TGAAGTTAACAAATAAGAAGGGACTTTAAAAAGTTCATGGAAAAAATGGAATTCAAAGATAAAAATAAAAAATACAAAGTTTATTTCTCAACATAAGCTCCATCCAATTCAAGACACTTTTGTAAGCAAGGATACCAGCCATTTAGTCCATACTCAAAAGAACTGGGAATGTAACCGTGTCAGTGCAATTTTTTTTACATTATTAACTGAAGAAAAATTGGTGACCTTTAAAGTTTTTTTAAGATTAGGAAACAAAAAAATTAGAAGACATCAAATGAGGATTATAAGGTGGATGCCTGATGATTTCCCATCATAACTCTTGCCAGATTGCCCTTGTTTGATGAAAGAAATGAGCAAGAGCATTATTGTGGAGGACTCCCTGGTGAAGCTTTCCTGGGCATTTTTCTGCTCAAACTTTGGCTGCCTTTCTCAGAACACTCTCATAATAAACACATGTTATTTCTTTGACTCTCCAGAAAGTCAACAAGCAAAAAGCCTTGAACATTCCAAAACACTGTTGCCATAACCTTTGCTCTTAGTCTGTCCGCTTTGGCTTTGACAGGACCACTTCCATCTCTTGGCAGCCATTGCTTTAATTGTGTTTTATCTTCAGGATTATATTGGTAAAACCATGTTTCATCGCCTTTTACAATTCTTTGAGGACATGCTCTGAATCTTGAACCCACTGGTTAAAATTTTTTCATTGAAAGCTCTGCTGTTGTCTGCAACTGATCTGGGCGCAATGGTCTTGGCACCCATTGAGTGGAAATCTGCTCAGCTTTAGTTTTGGAGTCAGAATTGTGTGAGCTAATGTCCATCAAGATGTCTATGATGTTGACTATCATTCCTGCTGTTAATCACCAGTCTTCTTCAATTGGGATGCAAACAAAATGAATTTTTGTCCTCACAAATTGATGCAGATGTTCTGTCACTGCAGGCTTTATCTTCAACATCATCTCATCCCTTAAAATGAGTTGTCCATTTTTTTGACCTCTGAACTTTTTATTGGCCTTCTCCTCCCCAGAGGGGACCCTGCTTCTGCTGGCTTAATGTTTCAAAACTTTGGTATCATTGGTCTCAGGTACCACTTTGCCATCCACTATCCAGTGGCTGGTGGTCTTTTGGATGGTTTGCATGGAGTTGCTGCTGTCCAGGGCATCACCAAGATTGAAGTCCTCACCGTCTTCCAGCAGGCGTCGATAGATGGTGATCTTAGCCTCCAGCTTGACCTTGATGTTTGGCAGGACCTCGTACTCCTGGACCTGGTGCTGCCCCTCTGCCCGGGTCTGTGCCAGCTCCGACTCCAGGTGCAGGAGGATCCCATTGAGCTACTCCATCTGTAGGGTGTAGTGGGCCTCCACCTCCCTCAGGCCATTCTCCAAGCTGGCCTTCAGGTTTCTCATCAAGTCCAGGTCCATCTCCAAGGACTGGACTATAAGTCTCAACTTCATGAGCACCATCTCAGCAGCTCCAGCTCCGGCAGACTGCGTGGTGATCACTGTGGTGGTCTCCTCAATCTGCTGAGACGCTGAGACCAGTAACTTGTCTGGCTGCTCTCGGTTCTTCTGAGCCAGCTTGTTGTATTGGGCCCAAATGTCTACCATGATCTTGGCAAGGTCCTGAGATTTGGTGGCATGTACCTCCACAGTCACCCTGGAGCTGGCAGTCTGGGCTTGTAGGCCTTTTACTTCCTCTTCATGGTTCTTCGTGAAGAGCAGCTCCTCCTTGAGAGCCTCCATCTGTGTCTCCAGCTGCAGCCGAGTGACATTGGTTTCATCAGTAACTTTGCAGGAGCCCAGGATGTTGCTCTCCACAGACTGGTGCACGGCCAGCTTTGTCTCATACTTGACTCTAAAGTCATCATCAGCAAGACGGGCATTGTCAATCTGCTGAACAACGCAGACATTTTCCACAGTATTTGCGAAAATCTGAGCCCTTAGGTCCTTGATGGTCTTGAACTAATGGTTCCAGTCTCTGCCCTGGGGTCCCTTCTTCTCCAGGTGCCCCCGATTTTGCTCTCCAGCTTCTCTAGTTCTTGGTGTCCAGGCTCCTCACTCTGTCCAGATAGGTGGCCAGGTGGTCATTCAGGCTTTGCATGCTCTGGCCATTCAGGCCTTACGTGGTCTTCTCGTTCTGGATGCCTTCCTTTCCTGCCAGACCCCCAGCCATCCCCATGGCCAGGTCCCCGGACCTGAAGCCACCCTGGAAGCTGGTGGAGCAGGACATGGAGATCAGGGAAACAGAGCTCCCGGAACCTGCATAGATGCCAGCCACGCTGCTGACCAGTCAGGCACCGTAGCTGGGTGCCTGGACGGAGTCCAGGAACCAGTAGCTGGTGGAGAAGGTGGAGCAAGTGGTGAAGCTCATGCTGTACGGGGAGGAGAGCGAGAGGACGGGACTCAGACTTTGCCAACGACCAAGTTATCCATTTTTAAACTGCTGATTTCTTTAGAACATTATCCTCATAAACTTTTTCAAAATTACTAGTGATTTTACCATTCTTCCATCCAAGCTTTAACGTATAGTTAATATTTGTTCTTACTTCAATTTTAGCAGAACTCATGTTGCTCTGATACTGGATGTTTTCAAACTGATGTCTTATCCTTCTTAGTGCCTCAAGCTAGATGCCGTTTACACATGTTATAACAAGTTAGTAGTTTATTTTGGTGCAAAAAATTTTTGAAATTTATGCATAGTTTTTTTATAATGTGCGTTTTCCATGAACTTTGAAGACCCCTTGTACTTTTATTTATTTACCATTTGGTGATTTAAATAAAATATAAGTGCTTAGCCTGCATCTTTTTTTTCTCCTATTATTTCTACTAACGGCTAACATTTACTGGACTATTAATATGCCAAGTACAGAGTTAAGTATTTTATCTACAATCTCATATAATCCTTACAGCATCCAGTGAGCAAGCCCCATAAATATTATCCCAGGTTCTATTATTATTTCTGTCTTAATGAATGCAGAAACTGAGGCATGGAGAGAATATGTAACTAGCCTAAGTTCATAAAGATGGCTAAGATCCCGAACTATAGCTAGGTCGAATAGGAAAACGAATAGTGTCCCTCTTTCCTATCAAGTTCTAAACAAACAATCGAAGTGAAGGCTAAAATTGTATTTTTCTTATAGGCCCATAGTTCCCTCTTTCAGATGTTTTTCAGAATTCAAAATTCTTTGTTTTGAAACAGGTAATACAATGTTTTGTAATATCTCCAACAAGTCTGAGATAGCACCCTGTGATCAAATGTATTGACATTTATGCAGGACCAGTTTATATCAGCTTAAGTCACGTTTTGCTACCAAATGTGATGGTAGTTGTGGTGAGGGTGGGTTTGTTGCCTCTCCTCACCTCCAAATAGTATATTTTGAAACCTTCTTGCATTTTAGAACGATGGACCTATTAATGATAGATGCTGGTTGGAAGGCTTCTCTTTAAGTCTTTTAAACAAGTGTTTTAACTAATACTGAAACACAGAACTAGGGAGGCTTACCACTTCAGTCTCTTAACAACGGTGGATCAGAGAAGGCCTATTCATTTAACACTGATCTACCTGAGTAAGGGTTTAGACATTTAAGGAGTACAGAACTAGTATCTCTACAAGTAGGCCCATTTCTAAGAGGAAAAAGTGTATCCCTACTCAGAAAACAAGTATCTCTAGTCATCCTTCCCAATTTACCAATCACCCTGCATCTAAAGGATCAGAGTAAATAAAGGGAATGGAGCCAGACCAGAAATGTGTGTATAAAAGCCACCACCCCCAATACTAAATCTCTATATCACTATTATAAACTATGTATGTAAGTGATCTGTTCTTATCCCACACTTCTTACTATAAAATCGTTCAGTTGTTTTACCAACTGTATAAGTTTCAGATAGAGTTGTATTATTACTGTTGAACTTTGTTATAGTTGTAGTTGATCAAAATGGTTTGGTTAAAACTCTCTATGATATTCTCATTTTACAAAAATATCTTAGGATATCCATGCTAAAATATTTAGGAGTAAATTGTCCTTATTCTGCAGTTTCAGTGGTTCTACAAATAAAAATAAAGTAAAAAGAAAGCTAATTTGGCAGACTGGTAACAGTTCTTGAATATTAGTAGAAGCTGTGTCGTTGTACTATTCTTTCATTTTTTATTTATGATCAAAATTTTTCTATATAGGCCGGGCGCGGTGGCTCAAGCCTGTAATCCCAGCACTTTGGGAGGCCGAGACGGGCGGATCACAAGGTCAGGAGATGGAGACCATCCTGGCTAACATGGTGAAACCCCGTCTCTACTAAAAAATACAAAAAACTAGCCAGGCGAGGTGGCGGGCGCCTGTAGTCCCAGCTACTCGGGAGGCTGAGGCAGGAGAATGGTGTAAACCCAGGAGGCGGAGCTTGCAGTGAGCTGAGATCCGGCCACTGCACTCCAGCCTGAGGGACAGAGCGAGACTCCGTCTCAAAAAAAAACAATTTCTGTATAAAAAATCGAGGAAAGAAAAAATCCTTGATGATGACATTCAGGACATACATGAAATGCACATTTTACAGAATTGGAGAATTTAATAGATACAGAATTATAAGAATTTAGATGTTTTCCTAGTTAATGCATGCACATTGTACATTTGGATAAAATTTGGTTACTTATACAATTTATGTTCACATACTGAGTGTTTTAATATCTAGTAAAGTATATCTGAATGAATATTAGAACTCTTGAGAATAAGTTGTTCTGCTTCTATGTCTAATTCTTTATCTGTATTTTAGTTTGGTACCAGAGAATGTTTAATTGTAAGAAATAATTAAATATGCCACATTTTTGGTTGATATATTATTATAAAGCTAATTAAATCTACAAAGCTTTTATTGCTAATTCCCAGAAAACATTGGCAGTTATGGACTGATGCTAAAAGACTTCTGAAGTCATTAATTTGTAATAAAAATAAATTTAAATGTTGGTGATTTGCATTTCTCTTTTTAAAATGATTATTATATTTATTTCTTCCCTAGATCTTCCTCAGAACTGTGATCCTAACATTCCCCTAGTTGCTCAGGAATTAATGAAAAAGATGATACGTCAATTTGCGATTGAGTACATTTCAAAAAGTGGTAAAACTCAAGAGAATAGAAATGGTTCAATTGGACCAAGTATAGTATGTAAAAGTATCCAAATGAATCAAGCAGAAAACTCCCTTCAGGAAGAACAGGAAGGCCCCTTAGACCTCACTGTGAATCGAATGCAAGAACAAAATACTCAGCAAGGTAAGATTTTTTGTGTGCATGTAGTATATAATTTGATGTTTTATATCGTCAAATGTATATTTATAACTTTTATATTCATAGCCAAATTTATTTTGGATGTAATATGACTTTTAATTTGCTTATGTACTGGAGAAAAGCACCATTTGCAGCTTCTGTATTTGCATCTTTGTGTATAAAAGAGAAAATTTGAGTTACTCGCAACTCCGTTTGCAATAAAAAAAGTGTATCCTAATAAACAGCTTAAAAATAAAGCATATAAATAAATAAAGGATATAAATAAAAAGATGTTTATAAGAAATAATTATTTTTATAGTGGACAGCTGAAAACAGTAAGCACTTGCTTGTTCAGTTTTTTTTTTGTATTTAAGTGAAGGGGGAAAAAGTAGATGATTTATCTTCCAGTTGTTTATAATGTAACTGGGAACAGAGGAAATGGAATATCTGTGACAAATGTAATGTTATCATGTAACTAACTATATGGAGAAACATTTGTCATAAGGAGCCTGAATGATGATGACCATGTTGGACTTACAGAGTTTAATTAAAAGAGAACCATTACTTCACAGAGGAAAGGCAAGAGGAAGAGCCTTTTAAGTGTGTGTGAAGGACTTAAGTGTTTATCAGAACAAAGGATAATTTAGGTAGCTTTTGTTAATATGGGCTAGGAATAGTGTTGTCAGTCTTTGAAGCCATAAGAAAAAAAGTCAGCATTAAATTTGATTCCAGAAGGCAGTGATGTTAGTTTGGGGCTCTTAAGAAGAATATACTAGTTAGGCCAGGTGCGGTGGCTCATGCCTCTAATCCCAGCACTTTGGGAGGCCAAGGCGGTTGGATCACCTGAGGTCGGGAGTTCAAGACCAGCCTGTGACCAACATGGAGAAACCCCGTCTCTACTAAAAATACAAAATTAGCAAGCATTGTGGTGAGTGCCTGTAATACCAGCTACTCGGGAGGCTGAGGCGGGAGAATTGCTTGAATCCGGGAGGCAGAGGTTGCAGTGAGCCGAGATCGCACCGTTGCACTCCAGCCTGGGCAACAAGAGCGAAACTCTGTCTCTTAAAAAAAAAAAAAAAAAAAGACAAAGAGTATACTAGCTAGTGTTTGAAGATACAGTCTTTTCAGTATGTAAATCAGATTAAAATTTAGAGGGGCTGGAATATGGGAATAATTTTTCCTTTTTAGTTCCCTAACACTAGGTTGCAAGTATTTATGTGACAATATCTGACAAATTTTAAGATAATAGGTTATAAGACAGAGAAAGAAATGTCAAAGATAACTATGATACTGCATGGGTGTCCAACCTTTTGGCTTCCCTGGGTTGCATTGGAAGAAGAAGAATTGTGTTGGGTCACACATAAAATACACGAACACTAACCATAGCTGATAAGCTTTAAAAAGCCGGTAGGGGGGTTCCCTGTGTTATTTTTATGATATCTGCCACCACAGATAAGTAAAAAAATCCTTGCAAAGGGTTGAATACCTGTGAAGGCTTAAGGAAAAAAGTATCAGTACACAGAATTTTGAAACTCGGAAAATAGAGGATTTTTAGAATTGTTTTTATTTGCCTTTCCATGCCTTATATTCCCTTATATCTCCTCTCCTTTTGGGGATTTCTGAAGAGACTAGAACATAGACTTTGGTATGTGACAGACTTGTGGTTGAAATCCTAGCTCTGCTACTTACTTAAGTTACTTGAACAAGTAACGTTACCTGTCAGACCTTTAATTTCTTCAATTGTAATTTGGCCATAATAATAATGGACCCATTGGAGCACTGTGAGAATTAAATATGTAGTAACAAACTCATGAAAGATACTCAAATTCTAGTCTCACCGTACTCTCTACCTCCCTTTCCTTATCACCATAGAAGAAGCCTTAGAAGTAATGTGATAATGATCTATAAATACTTGCATGACTGTTACACTAACGTAGGACTGAGTTTTCTGTGAATGGTCCAATGAGTTGAGTTAGGATCACTAGCTAGAGGGAAACAGATTTCAGGTCTAGATAAGAAAGAATATTTCTAAGGAAATTGCTAAGGAAAGAAGGACTGTTTCTCTGATTGTCTCGTCGTTGAAGGTATTGAAAAGCATCAGATGAGTGGTTAGAATAGATGGCATTTTGGCCCGGCATGGTGTCTCACCCCTGTAATTCCAGCACTTTGGGAGGCTGAGGTGGGTGGATCACGAGGTCAAGAGATCTACATCCTGGCCAACATGGTGAAACCCCGTCCCTACTAAACATACAAAAATTAGCTGGGCGTGGTGGCGCACGCCTGTAGTCCCAGCTACTCGGGAGGCTGAGGCAGGAGAATCGCTTGAACCCAGGAGGTGGAGGTGACAGTGAGCCGAGATTGCGCCGCTCCACTCCAGCCTGGTGACAGAGCAAGATTCCATCTCAAAAAAAAAAAAAAAAAAAAGAATAGATGGCATTTTAAAAGTAAATTTCCAGTCCTTAGATCTTTGATTCTGTGAAGTGGCAAGACAGATCCATGTATATGTAGAACACGAGTCATGTAATTAATTAAATTATTGTAATAGTCTAAACAAAGTGCAAAAATATGTGAAAATCCTCAGGTTGGAAAGAGTAGTGATAGTGGATATAAATCTATAACTAGTCTTCTTGATAATTTTAAGTTTTTGGATGACTTCTTGTCATATGTGATTCTAGTCTTCTTACTTGAGGATAGAAATTACTTAGTTTAATGTGGTTTGAAGTATAGAGGGCACGGGGAAGAATGATGATAGATGAAGCTCAAGAAGTAGGTAGGGACCAAATTTTGACTTTTCTTGGGATCATAAAAAGCTACCAGACTGAGAGTAACAAAATCAGATTTTCTTTTATGAAACCATTCTGCCATGGTATGGATTGGTAGTTTCTTAAAATTTGTCTACGTGTACACCAAACAAGGAAAAATGAAGCACATGCCCTTTGATGCATTAGTATGTACATATGGGTATGTGTGTATGTACCCACTAACACAGTATGTGTACTAATCTTTTAGGATTTAAATAAAGATGTTATAAATAATTTTTAAATGTTTTGCTAATCACGATGACTTCACTGCCAGTATCTTATTGAATGATAATATACTTTAGAAGAGTTTAATTAGCAGTGATAGAAAGTATAAACCCATATTTCACATAGCTTCCCTTAAGAATTTAACCTTTTTTTGACCTGATTTCACTGTTTTTACCTCATAGTATAGTCAATAAAGAGCTCGTACTAGTGATAGCAGTGTCAGTTATGCCTTTTTTTAATGTTGCTATTTGCTAGTGCTTACATTTTTCATATTATTCTCACTCTATTTTTTTAACAATACTTATTTAAGCCAGTTATTTATTTGGTGAGTTACTTTATTCAAATTAGATGACAATAGATAATCTATCCATAAATGATATAGATACATTTATGGGTAGTATAAACCATAAGTTTATGAAATTCTCCATGCCAAATGGTTTTATAGGTAACTTTATATACTCTTAAAGCAACAGATAATTCCTATTTGTGCTTTCCTTTTTTTCTACTCTGTTTCAAAGAGTAGAAAAAAAAAGAAATGTTGGTATAATCTTGATGCCAAAACCAGACAAAGATAGCAAAAGAAAGAAATACTGCAACTTACAAACCTAGGTGCAGAAATCCTTAATAAATATCAGCAAATTGAGTAAAGTGAGGTATAAGGACATAATAATGACTAAGGAGGCATGGATGATTAAGCATTTGAAAAATTTTCTTAATTTTCTAAATTAAAAATTATATCCTAATAGATACAAAAAAAATTTATTCTATAAAAGCACTTACCAAACTAATAATCTATGGGCACTTTCACTACCAAAAACATTATAACCTAAAGATTTAAAATAAAAGATGACACAAAAAATCCACGCTATCATCAATTTTAAACATTTGATTTAAACATTTGATGAGAGGTCTTTACTCAACTACTCTATTAGAAAATCTAGTTTTAAAGAAGTTACATTTGCAATAGCTGCAACAACAGGAAAAACAGTGAAATGCCTAAGAATGAAACGGATAAACTGTATCAGGTCTTATGGAGAATATTATAAAAATATATTGAAGGAAGAAAAAGAAGAGCAGGAAAATGAATGATTCCTTAAATGAATGTGAGGACTGATGCTTACAGATTCAGTGTCATTCCGGGCAGAATTCTGACAGGATTTATTGTTAAATGTGGCTTGCCAATCCTAAAATTTACAAGCAAGACTTAAAGAACCAGGAATAACCAAGTCAAGGTGGTAAATAAAGTCTTGCTAAATGTAGCAGCACTTATTCAGTGCAGTAATTAAAACAGGGTGCTATTGGCCAGGATAAAAATAAGTAGGACAGATCAGTCCAAACATTAGCTCCCAAACATTAGTGGAATCTTAGTACAAGACAGAAATGTCATTATAAATCATTGGGAAGGATACCGTATTCCTAAATAGTTCCAGGGCAATTGATTACCCAAAAGGAGGATAAGGGGCAGATCCCTACCTTACACCACTCATAAAAATAGTTCTAGTTGGGTTTAAAGGCTAAATGTGAAAATCAGAACTGAAAGAGAGGAAATTATAGGATAATATCTTAATTCAAAATAGGGAAGAAGTTCTTAAAATGCAAGAATCACAGTCCATACAACAATTTTGCATATTTGACTATACTCAAATCTAAAACTTAAGTATAAAGTCACTGAAGAAAGTGAAATCTCAAGCCTCATCTGTAACTGATGTATCTAGCAAGCATTCAGCTAACAGAACTACAGCCAGTTAGACAGACAACTGATGAGAAAAATAGACAAAGACAAGTCTCAGAAGAAGATATTGGAATAGGCAAATAAGCAAAGAAAAAGATACTTACAAGAATATCTTGCCTAGGCTTCTTCCCTATATAGGATTCTTTTATTCTGTATTATAAGAGATGGTAATTCAGCTTCTGAGTGAGTAAGTATTTACCAAAAATCTTTGACAACTCTAATATTTAAGCTCATATCTATGAAGAATG